TGTTTGATACACTTGGCATGCTTGGGCCATCAAGCATGGCATTGCTGTGGTCTGCGCTTGCTCCGAAGACGTGTAACGATGGCAGCGTTACCACAGCCTCACCCGTCAAGTCATGCATAAACGAATGCGCCTCACTTGCGGCTACATAACCGGAGCATAGAATCGCAAACCGTATGCCCCATCCCTTCCATTCCCCCACTGCTCCCCCTCTCTCCACACCCTCTTCCCTTCCCTTCTGTTCCTCACACTCCTTGCTCTCCTCACTCTGCTTCCTTGTCCCTCCCAATCCCTCCCCCTCCTTGCAATGCGACAAACCCTGTGTTTCCTTCCTTTCTTGACTAGCCAGAGCAGCAACAGCAGCAGCCACAGCAGCACCTTGGGAGAACCCCAAAACCCCATCAAAAGGGCCCAGTTTGGATACCACCTCCCTCAGATAGGACAAACTCGCCGCCCAGCCGTACACCTGCCCGTCCAGCTGGTCAGCAGGGAATCCGCCAGCTAGTAGCACAGGTGGCACTGCTGCGTGAGCTGGCGCTGCCGCAGCAACAGCTCGCGTGCTTGTGACAGCTGGCACCACTTCGGCACTGCCAGCTGGCACGGTCCAGCTGGTATGGTGGGAAGAGGGGATGATGATGAACAGTGGAGGGTGGTGTGAGAGGATGCTTGAAGGGCAAAGGTCAATGGGTCCTGTCAGCCCACGCATACTTGGGTCGGGGAAGGCTACCACTTGCTGCTGCCTTGGTGCTGTGCAGACTACCCTGACCTGCTTGAGCATCTGTTGCTTGAGCACCTGAGGAGCCACCTGAGGAGCCACCTGAAGAGGCACCTGAAGAGGCACCTGAGGATGTGACGACGTGTGCGAGTGCATGCGGGGCGTCAATAAAGACGAATTCCGCCACCGACTTGAGCTTCCGCTGCAGCGCGCGCGTCCGCCCAGAAAAGGACGAGGCATTTTGTCTGAATCCATGCAGACAAAGAATGCGAGCTCTTGCTCTTGGACTCTCTCTGCTGCTGGTGCTGCTGGTAGCAGCTACGGTGACAGATGCATGGGCAGGGGCAGAATTGCTGGTGGCAGTGGTCGAGGCAACATTTTCACTGATGCTTTTGCTGCAACAGCTGGCAGTGGTGGTGGTGGTGCTGCTGCTGCTGCTGCTGCTGCTGCTGCTACTCTTGCTGGTGCTACTCTTGCTGCTGCACTCGTCCTTGCTTGTACTGCTGCTGCACCGCCTGCTACTATGTCCGATGGAAAGATCTTCAGACTCCGCCCATCCTGCCTGCATCCCAAGAATCTCCATCCCCCCACCAACCCCCGCCACACTCCAGCATCCATACAGGCAAGTTCAACAGTAGTAGGAGACATTAATTCCGGAGTTAAGGATTGTCTGGAAGTCTAATTCCTCTAGCAGCATCCATTATTGCTGCATCCATCCATCCGGCCAAGTTTCCAGAGGGCTACTGCGACACAGGCGCAGGCCTGAGCTGCTGCTGCTGAAGCTGCTGCTGAAGCTTTGGCGCTGCTGAAGCTTTGGCGCTGCTGAAGCTTTGGCGCTGCTGAAGCTTTGGCGCTGCTGAAGCTTTGGCGCTGCTGAAGCTTTGGCGCTGCTGAAGCTTTGGCGCTGCTGAAGCTTTGGCGCTGCTGAAGCTTTGGCGCTGCTGAAGCTTTGGCGCGCACCCAAAGCCTCAGCAGCGCCACAGAAAGCCGTTTTTATTTATTCGGGCGTCGTTTGACTTGACTTGACAGTCACCTCGTTATTTATTCGGATGTCTTGCAACTTCTTGAGAAAGGAGAGGGATGCTTCTGACCCCGGCTCTCCCCTACCCCACGGTGACCCTGGAGGATTCCTATGGCATAAAAGCATTCTTATAATCCACCCACCAGGGTCCTTGGGGATTCTTATACTCCACCCACCAGGGTCACTGGAGTAGGGGAGAGCTGCTGCGGCAACTGCTGAAGCTTTGACGCGGGCTTGCAACCTGAAAAGCAAGTTCTATGGTCCAACCACCAGGATCCTTGGGGATTCTTATAATCCACCCACCAGGGTTACTGGAGAAGGGGAGAGCTGCTGCGGCAACTGCTGAAGCCGCTGACTCTGCGGATTCTCCTGCTGATGCTCTTTTGGCTTCTGGCTCTGCTGCTTTAGCGTCCCTTCTTTTGCCCCCATTCCCCCCCCTTCCGCCTTGCAGCTCCCCTTCTGGCAGATTTCACATATGATCTGCGGCTGTGGAGAGGGGTAGGGTCGGGGGTGGGAAACGGGGGAAAGGGGGGAAAGGGGGAAGGGGGGAAAGGGGAGGTGACTTCTGAGTCGACTCAAAAGTCATCTCTTCCGCCTTGCAGCTCCCCTTCTGGCAGATTTCACATGTGATGTGCCTCAAAAAGCGGCGCGGCTCCGCCTTCTGAGTCTATTTTTCAGGCGCCTCAAAAATAGGCTGAGGAGAGACGTGGGGTGGGGGGGGAAAGGGGGGGGAAGGGGAGGGGCTGTAGGGGAGGAGAGGGTAAGGAGAAGAGGTGGGGAGATAAAGAGGAGGCGGCAATGGATGCTACTCTTTATGCCTTGTATTGTATCTTCCCTTCTGTGACATTGTAATGAGGTGACTTTTGAGTCGACTCAAAATACACCAGGAGGCGGCAATGGATGCTACTCTTTATGCCTTGTTTTTTATCTTCCCTTCTGGCAGATTTCACATGTGATCTGTGGCTGAGGAGGAGAGAGGTGGGGGGGGAGGGGGGGAGAAAGGGGGGAAATGGGAGGGTTTGTGGGGGGAGGGTTTAGGGTTTCGAACAGAGTTGGGGAGATTAAAGAGGGAGCGGCAATTCACGATTCTCTCGCTGCCTTGCATCCCCCACCCCCACTCCCTCTGCCCCTCCCTCCCCCTGCCCCTCTCCCTCCCCCCCCCCCCTCCTCCCCTCCCCCTCCCCCTCCCCTCCCCTCCCCCCTCCCCTCCCCCTCTCCCTCTCCCTCCCCCTCCCCCTCTCCCTCCCCCCCCCCTCCCCCTCTCCCTCCCCCCTCCCCTCCCCCTCTCCCTCCCCCTCCCCCTCCCCTCCCCTCCCCTCTCCCTCCCCCTCTCCCTCCCCTCCCCCTCCCTCTCCCCCTCTCCCTCTCCCTCTCCCTCCCCCTCTCCCTCCCCCTCCCCCTTTCCCTCTCCCTCCCCCTCCCCCTCCCCCTCCCTCTCCCTCTCCCTCTCTCTCCCCCTCTCCCTCCCTCCCCTCTCCCTCTCTCCCTCTCCCTCTCCATCTCCCTCCCCCTCTCCATCCCTCTCCCTCTCCCTCCCCCTCTCCCTCTCCCTCACCTTCTAACTCTCCCTCTCCCTCCCCCTCCCTCCCTCCCCCTCTCCCTCTCCCTCTCCCTCTCCCTCTCCCTCTCGCTCTCCCTCCCCCTCTCCCTCTCCCTCTCCCTCTCCCTCTCCCTCTCCCTCCCCCTCTCTCTCCCCTCCCCTCTCCCTCCCCCTCCCCTCTCCCTCCCTCCCCCTCTCCCTCTCTCCCCCTCTCCCTCTCCCTCTCCCTCTCCCTCTCCCTCTCCCTCCCCTCTCCCTCCCTCTCCCTCTCCCTCTCCCTCTCTCTCCCCTCTCCCCTCTCCCCCTCTCCCTCTCCCTCTCCCACTCCCTCGCCTTCTCCCTCCCTCTCTCCCTCCCTCGCCCACTCCCTCGCCCTCTCCTTCGCCCATACCTGATGACCCTAAACTGAGTTTCCGAACATGTGTACATACACCAGTGTAACTCACCTGGGTCTCAGCGCATAAGAGGCAGACGAGCAGCAGGATGCGGCAGGCAATGGAGCGGATCCTGCCAGTGTGTAGTCACCTAACGGCTTCCCCCTCTCTCGCCCCCACTCCCTCTCTCTCGCCCATACATGATGACCCTCACCTGAGTTTCCGAACACGTGTCCATACACCAGTCTCCCTCACCTGGTTCTCAGAGCATAAGTGGCAGACGAGCAGCAGGATGCGGCAGGCAATGCAGCGGATCCTGCCAGTATAGTCACCTAACGGCTTCCCCCTCTCCCGCCCCCACTCCCCCTCTCTCGCCCATACATGATGACCCTCACCTGGGTGTGTCAGGATGATGCTCGCCTGGCCAAGCCCTCTCACCTGGGTGAGCAAAAGAGGCACACGAGCAGCAGGATGCGGCAGGCAATGCAGCGGATCCTGCCGCTACACGATCACCCTCACCTGGTTTTGTGCGCATGAGGGGCAGCATGCGGCAGGCAACGCAGCGCTTCCTGCCAGTGTAGTTGTCAAACAAGCAGCACCAAGGAACACCTGCCTGCACGGACACACATCCCCTTACCAGTGTCGTGGCACAGACCCACCCAGGCCACACCAGCAGTAGCTTATGGCAGGCAGTGCAGCGGTTCGGTTCCTGCCAGTGTAGTCGTCAAACGGCTTAACTCAAAAGCACACATGTGACATGATTAGCATCGACATGCTTCTGCACACTAGCCCCACCCACCTGAGTCTCAGTCAGCACACACATGGCGGACCAGCAGCAGCATACGGCAGGAACCACATCAGTTCCTGCCACTATAGTTATCAAACGGCCTTACTCAAGAGCACACATACATACATCAGCATACGTCCATACACTAGCCTCACCTGAGTCTCAGAGCAAGACGGGCACACCAGCAGCAGCATGCATGCGGCATGCAACACAGAGATTCCTGCCACTGTAGTCAACAAAGGGCTGCTGGCACAAGAAGGGCAACACACATACATCCCCTCACCTCTGCCATCGCACACCCAAGGCACACCAGCAGCAGCCTGCGGCACGCAATGCAGCGATTCCTGCTGCAGAAGTCCTCCACCACACCCCCTCTCCCTCGCCCATACACGATCACCCTCACCTGGTCTTCCGCACATGAGGGGCAGACCAGCAGCAGCATACGGCACACAACGCAGCGATTCCTGCCACTGTAGTCGTCAAAGGGCTTTTCCCCTGTCACCTCCCCCCCGCCCCCCCCGTCTCCATCACCCATACATCTACCCCCTCACCTGAGGCTCAGAGCAAGAGGGGCACACGAGCAACAGCATGCGGCATGCAACGCAGCGCTTCCTGCCGCTGTAGTCGTCAAAGGGCTTCTCACACAGACAGCAAGCGCCTATTGTTGCCTGCTGTGGTGCTGCTGGTGGCACTGCCAGGCTGCGGGAAAGAGGCGAGGGAGGGGGGTGGGGAGCGAGTGAGGGGGGCGGGGAGTGAGGGGGGGGGGAGTGAGGGGTGGGGGAGTGAGGGGGGCGGGGGAGTGAGGGGGGCGGGGAGTGGGGGGGGGGGGGGAGTGAGGGGGACGGGGAGTGGGGGGACTACTGTTTTTGAGTGGACTCAAAGGTTGAGATAGCAACCAAGAAAGGGCATGAGAATGGGGTGTGTGTGTGCAGTGTAATACGGTGCTGCAGGTGGTGAAAAAATGGTTACTCTTCCTGTAGGGTGTTTTACAGAATTCGCAAAAACACCCCGCACAATCAAGGATTTTCTAGAATTCTTAAAAATCACCTAACGTCGTTGAATAACTCACCGATGGTCAAACACGAAGTTCTTTCCTCGGAAAAAACCCCCATCTGGAAAGGCCTCTAGATAGCGCACGATCCCACCTGACAGCTGCACAATGCACCGAGAGACAGTGTGGTAAGGGCATAAGGGTTGACGCATGGCAAGACGCACAGCACAGCACGGCACGGCACAGCAAGCGCAAGAGGCATCGGTTCGAAGAACGACTAGTATGACTTGGGGTAGAGGACAAGAGCTGGGTCCAAAGAACTTGAGGGGGGCACAGGTGATGCACTGCTGAAAAGGAGGGGTGATGGCACACCTGCACCACGTCTTGAAATCCGGGCCCTTTAGACCGAAGGTAGGCTGTTGCTGACTCACAGCGCACCCCTCCGGTGCAGTACCTGGGAGGGAGGGAGGAAGGGAACATAGAGAGAGCTCCTGTCCTGACCTTGCGTCGACCCAAGACTCAAAGCGGGGAGCACCCCTCCGGTGCAATACCTGGGAGGGAGGGAGGGAGGGAGGCAGGGAGGGAGGGAGGGAGGGAGGGAGGCAGGGAGGGAGGGAGGGAGGGAGGGAGGGATGAGTAAGGCTCTCCCATGCAGCAGCCAGCTGCGTCCGAGTGTTGGATGAATAGTGCAAGACTTAGGAAGAGAAGGAGAAGAGGAGAGGCAGAAGGGGGGAGACAGGAGGCACGTCACTGGGTAAAAAAACATGGAGAATGTTGTGGGGTGTGGAGAGAGGTTAACTGCCAGAGTACCTGTATTACCCCAGAAGCACTTACATAAGCACGGTTTTATTTTTGAGCTCCTCCTCGTGTCTGTCCACCCATGGAGGCAAGTCACTGAACTGGCGGATGCAGGGATCGATGAAAGCCACTCCTAGGGGAAAGAGAGGGGTGAAATGCGGTGGAGAGAGGCGAGGAGTGGTGAAGAGGTAACGGGAAGGGCTCTCCTGTCTCCCTTGATGGACACGGCTCTGTTTTTCAGCTCCTCCTCGCGGCTGTCCACCCATGCAGGCAGGTCGAGAGCGGTGGAGGGCAGTGACAGGTGGTGAAGAGGTAACGGTACGTGAGGAGTCTATTTTTGAGGCGCCTCAAAAATAGAGTCCTCACGCATGGTGAAGAGGTAGCGGTAAGTGCTATCCTGCCTCTCTCTGAGCTCCTCCTCGCGGCTAGAGAGTGGTGAACAGCGGTGAAGAGTGGTGAGACACATGGCGAACAGCGGTGAAGAGTGGTGAGACACATGGCGAACAGCGGTGAAGAGTGGTGAGACACATGGCGAACAGCGGTGAGGGAGGGGATATAAGAAGCCAGCCCTGTCTTTCTGCACGAGTTTTTTTAATAGGCGCCTCAAAAATCGACACAACGAGGGCATTCGCACCTTCAGGGGGCACAAATCGCCCGATGCGCGTCTCGTACACGTTCCTGGTGTCCAATACCACCATGCCACGTGGCACAGGCCCCCCCTGACTCTCCCCCCCAGCTGTCCCCTTTCCCCTTTGCCCTCCACTCTCCTGCACGCCCTCCTCTCCCACTTTCCCATCCCCTCCTCCTCCTCCACACTCCCTCTTCCCACCCTTCTCCCCGATATTTTCCTCAGCCCTCTCCCCTTGTTCCGTGCTCCCGCTCCGGTCCTCGCCCTGGTTCTCCCCCCTCCGCCCTTCCACCATACACCGGTGGAACTCTGCTGGCGACAAGTGGTCGCCTGTGAGAGATAGGTCCACCGGGCATAGGGTTACCAGCTCCTGTAACCAAGGCAGGGACAGGGGGAGCAGAGAGAGGGGGGAGGGAAGAGTCTGTAGCTCTGCTGGTGAAAAATTGGTCGGCTGTAAGGGAGAGGTCTATTGGGCATAGGATTACCACATCCAAAAACCAAGGGAGAGAGGCAAGGGCAGGGAAAGGGAGAGGGAGAAAGAGAGTGAGTGTGAGAGACTGAGGGAGAGGGGGAGGGAGAGGGAGGGAGATGGCACCTGGGTCAAGGATAGGTATGCTGGAGGCCTACTATTGCCAGCACACAGAGAGTGTGTGCGTTTCATCCTCCCACGCTAATCCCGGTTCAGGTAGGTGACAGGTGGTTGAGAGGTGGCCAATCAACCACAGGGCTCCTGCTTCATGTCGGTTGGGGTGGGTGGGTGAACCACCTGGCAAAACCTTACACTATCAACCAAAACCCTTTCTCTCTTACCTCGACAACGCGTGCAATTCACACCCTCAGGGACCACGACCTTTCGCTCGCACCTTGACAATGCGCACGAAAAGAGTGTGCATGTTGCACTCGCGCGCTATGCGGGGCGACCAGTCACAGGGTTCCAGCTGAGAAGAAGTGCACAAACCATCACACGAGGCCTCACCTTCACAAGGCACACAGAGAGGGTGTGCACGTTGCACTCCCGTGCTATGCTATTCTGGGTTCAGGCGGCCAGTCACAGGGCTCCAGCTTGAAGTCGGCTCAGGCAAGCCACCTGAACCGCGGGTGTAGGGTTTTGCTGGGTTCAGGCAAAACCCTACACCCTCACCCACGACCCTCCCATCGTGCCTTCACAAGGCGCACACCTTACACCCTTGACCGCAAACCTTTCTCGCTTACCTTGACAATGCGCACGGAGAGAGTGTGCATGTTGCACTCGCGCGCTATACGGGGTTCAGGCGGCCAATCTCAGGGCTCCAGCTTGTAGTCGGTTTGGACTCTCCCGCACGCACACATGAACGGAGGCGCCTCACCTTGACCACTCGCACTGACAAACTGTCGACCTTGCACTCGCGCGCTATACGTGGCTCAGGCGGCCAATCGCAGGGCTCCAGCTTGAAGTCGGTTTGGGCGAACCACCCAGAAGGGTGATGGGAGAGCGAGGAAATGTGCTTATGAAGGGCGGTTGTACTCCCTGCTACCTGCGCGTGACAATAACGGGGGCGGTTGGAAACGGCAAAAGAAAGGTGGCAAGTGGGGGAAAGGGGCGGCGGGAGGGGGGGAGGGGGGGGGGGACGGCGAGGGGGTAGGGGGGTGTGGGCGATAGTAAGGGAGGCAATGAGAGCATCAGTAGCAGCGGGCGTTGAGGCGTTTAGCAGCAATGAGAGCATCAGTAGCAGCGGGCGTTGAGGCGTTTAGCAGCATTGAGACTGGCAGTAGCAGCGGGCGTTGAGGCGTCTCAAAACTGCTAGGTACCGTGGCATTGAATCCCAAGACTACTAACCGTAACGTTAAAGCCCAAGGCTACTAACCGTAACGTTAAAGCCCAAGGCTACTAACCGTAACGTTAAAGCCCAAGGCTACTAACCGTGACGTTAAAGCCCAAGGCTACTAACCGTGACGTTAAAGCCCTGCTTGGATACGCGGACGCGTCCCAGCAGGCCCTGCTCCTCGCAAATGCGTCGCATCCAATCCGCTGCTGCCATGTCATCGGGAACATCCACGTACTGATAGTACAGCAACACGCCGTAGCCTTCACTTTCCGCTTCGCTAGTCGGCATTGTACCCGTTATAGTCTCAGTCGACGCCATTGCACGCACAACACTGACTCGATTCGATATAAGCGAGTCTCGAATCTCCCAAGTCTATGCGAGTAAATGCTGCACGTCACTCGCACCCGCTCCTGGGCTCACTTGTATCGCGCTCAAAGCCGTCTCGTGCGGCAATCGCGCCGAGCGGACTTTGGACTCGACTCAGAAATCAGCTCGAGAGGAGTAAATGCGAGACCAAGCAGAGCGGACTAAAAAATCGTGTCGACCGCGCGACGAGTGGGTGAATGCTGCTGCTGAGCTGTCTCGTGCGGCGACCGCGCCGAGCGGACTTTGGAGTTGACTCAAAAGTCAACTCCAGCCGAGGGAATGCTGCTGCTAAGATGCCTCCTCCGCCAACCGCGCTGAGCGACAATTGCTACAGCTCAATCCAAGAGCCGCGCCTTCTATCGCGTACGAATAAGGCAAAACGCTTCAGACGCCAATAGGCTGGCGGCTGTGGTGAGGGCGCGGAAATTTCTTTTTTCACATGGAGAATGGAGCATTTCCTGTCCTTTCCGTTCCTACACCTCTTTTCAGACAAGCCTCCTGTCAGACGCGCGCGGTACTGCACGGTGCGATTTCAACGCAAGCTGGTTCAATACGTTTCAGAATGGTGGAACCTGGGGCTGAAAAGAGGTTTGACTGATAAGGGGTCCTAGGAACACGCTCTATGTCCCCGTATTTGCCACAAAGTGTGGAGCCAGTAACTATATGATAACGCGTTTGTGTGAAACGCAATAATTCCCAAATTCAAAATCCTCATCCGACTTGTTCCAACCCCTCATCTTTCATGTCATAACGCGTCACCTCATATCGACTCCTGCCACTCCCACCAATGCTTTGATTCTCACTTGTACCTCCCACGCTCCCACCACTTCCAACGCCGCATTCGGCGCCGCGTATTGCGTGGCATACCCGATAATGCCCGTGGCCATGGAATCCATGGCTGTTACTAGCCGCGTCGCGCTAACGACAAACAGCGCCAGCCACCAGCAACAGTGTTACGTCCCACCAGAATTTCGCGCACGCGGTACCAGCGGCGCCGCCGAATTGAGAAATTTCCCGCCGGCCCATCAAAGTTGTGCTAGTTTCCATCCTACGTGGCATTTGCGACGTTTCGAGAGTTCCACGTGTCATTCAGCGAGCGATCCGACGTGTCAGCTTCAGGCACCGCAATTTCCGTGCGTCCAGCGACTACTGCGAAATTCACGACTAAGGACAAGCTTCGCGAAGAACTGCTTTATAGGCGATGGTTACCAAATTTCGCGAGATTTGCGACGGCAAAGACGGCTCCGCACTGTAGAGCCGAGTCTGGCTTCCCCCGCATGCAGCCTCCCCTCGCTGAATCCCTCGATCTCTGCATCTGAACCGTCAATTTCCTGTCAATCTCCACCGTCCATTCCCAACCAGGCTCTGGTGGCATCCATCGCCGCATCTCAGCCGTCCATTCCCTTCGCCCTGCCATCTCAGCCATTGATCCCAGCAAGCGACACGTGGGGGGTATGGGCCGCGCTGCTAGTAGCCGCAGCCATAGGTTTCTGGTCGGAGCGCCATACCGATTTAGGACGCGCTTTAAGCGGCCCGTTAGTCGCCACATTAGTAGGCCTAGCCGCGAGCAACTTAGGCCTGATCCCCTGCGAGGCGCCTGCTTATAACGTAGTTAATCGCTTCCTGCTGCCTCTAGCCGTTCCTCTGCTGTTATTTGCTGCCGACCTAAGGCGGGTGATTAAAGACACCGGGCGGCTTCTTCTGGCGTTTTGTGTGGGAGCAGGTGCGTTAGTGCATGCTTGCGTTCCTCCTCTCCCACTGCGTGCATTTTTTAGTCGACTCAAAAGTCACCTCGTAAGTCCTCCTCACTCCTTCCTCCTAACTCTCAACTCCTTACTTCCCCCCCCTACCTCTCCCCTCCTACCTCTCCCCTCCTACCTCTCCCCTCCTACCTCTCCCCTCCCGCCTCTACATTCCCATCACTACCCCCCCTTCCCCCTCCCCCCCTTTCCCCCCTTCCCCCTCCCCCCTTTCCCCCCTTCCCCCTCCCCCCCTTTCCCCCCTTCCCCCTCCCCCCTTTCCCCCCTTCCCCCTCCCCCCCTTTCCCCCTTCCCCTCTCCCCCTTTCCCCCCTTCCCCCTCCCCCCCCTTTCCCCCCTTCCCCCTCCCCCCTTTCCCCCTTCCCCCTCCCGCTCCAACGCAGTCCGTACTATCTTTGGCACCCTGGTGGCCTATGCCGCCCTGCCAATGCAATGTCTTATAAAGGCCTTCTAACGCCCACTTATTCCCCCGCCCCCCCGCTTCTAACACCCACCCATTCTCCGCCCCCCCCCTCCTCCCCCATACAGTCGGCACTATCTTTGGAACCCTGGTGGCCTATGCCGCCCTGCCGCTGCGATCGCTGGGCGGCGATGGTTGGAAGATAGCGGCTGCACTGATGAGCCGGCACATAGGGGGAGGTGAGAGAGGGGCGGGTGGAGGCGGGGGGGTGGAGAGGAATGTGTAACGGTGGAAAAAGGTGCAAGGGAGCTTTGAGGCGTCTCGAAACGGGGGTGTGTAATGGTGGGAGAGGGATGCAAGGGAGCGAGCAGGAGCGGATGGTTGGAAGATGGTGACTGCACTAATCAGCCGACACATAGCGGGAGGTGAGAGGGGGGGGGTAGGAGGGGACTTTTGAGTCGACTCCAAAGTCACCTCATAGCGGGAGGTGAGAGGGGGGGGGGGTAGGAGGGGACTTTTGAGTCGACTCCAAAGTCACCTCATAGCGGGAGGTGAGAGGGGGGGTAGGAGGGGAGGGCGGGAGAGAGAGCGAGGAGCATGGGGTGCATGGGGTGCATGGGGTGCATGGGGTGCATGGGGTGCATGGGGTGCAATGAGGGGAGTTTGAGGATTCTTATTTGTACTCGTGGAAAAAGCTGTACGTTACTGCAGGGCTGGCAGCAGACAATCTGTACGTTACAATGGTAACAATTCCCACTCTCATCCGCCCTCTCCGCCCTCTCCCTCCTCCTCCCTCCTCCCTCCTCCTCCCTCCTCCTCCCTCCTCCTCCCTCCTCCTCCCTCCTCCTCCCTCCTTCTCCCTCCTACTCCCTCCTCCCTCCTTCTCCCACCTTCTCCCATGCTCTCCCCAGCTGTCAACTACGTGGCAGTGACAGAGGCGTTACAAGCATCCCCATCGGTGGTAACTGCAGCGCTGGCAGCAGACAACCTGCTCTGCGCGCTCTACTTCACCACGCTCTTTGCCCTCGCTGCCAAGATACCGGCAGAACCCATCAGTGGTGGTTCAAGCAGTGGTGGTAGTGGCGCTGCCAACATTTCGCCCGATTCGCAGGTGCGTGTCGCTGGCAGCAGACAACCTGCTCTCTGCGCTCTACTTCACCACGCTCTTTGCCCTCGCTGCTAACACTCCACCTCAAGCCAGTGCTGGCTCTGGCAGTGGTGCTGATGCTGCTGATGCCGTGGGAGGGTCAGTGGATGCCGTGAGAATTCTCAAAAACATCCTCACAGGTACGAGGCCCTGCTTCTGGCGTTGATCTTTTTGGCTCTACTTCACTTCACCACGCTCTTTGTCCTCGCTGCCAAGATTCCGGCTGAAGGGGATGGCGGTGGTGCTGCTGATGCTGCTTCGGATCCCGCTGATGGGCGCATCTGAATCGTCCCAGGTACGAGCCTCTACTTCTGGCTTTGGTATTTCGCAGCGTGGCTTCACGAACCTCACTGCCCTCGACGCCAAGATACAGGCGGAAGGGGATGGCGGTGGGTGGTGCTGATGCGAGCAATGGTGCTGGTGCTGCTGACGCACGCGCACCAGGCTCAGCACGATTCGGAGTGAACGAGCCAGCATCAGCACAGGTACGCTGTCCCCTGTACAGCACAGGCACAGCCAGCATCAGCACAGGTACGTTGCTGTGTCACGGTAGTAGCAACCTCTGACCCCTTTCTCCCTGTACGCTGTCCCCTGTGTAATGAGTCGATTTTTTAGTCGACTCAAAAATCGACTCATTACACACGGAGCAACCTCTGACCCCTTTCTCCCTGTACGCTGTCCCCTGTGTAATGAGTCGATTTTTTAGTCGACTCAAAAATCGACTCATTACACACGGAGCAACCTCTGACCCCTTTCTCCCTGTACGCTGTCCCCTGTGTAATGAGTCGATTTTTTAGTCGACTCAAAAATCGACTCATTACACACGGAGCAACCTCTGACCCCTTTCTCCCTGTACGCTGTCCCCTGTGTAATGAGTCGATTTTTTAGTCGACTCAAAAATCGACTCATTACACACGGAGCAACCTCTGACCCCTTTCTCCCTGTACGCTGTCCCCTGTGTAATGAGTCGATTTTTTAGTCGACTCAAAAATCGACTCATTACACACGGAGCAACCTCTGACCCCTTTCTCCCTGTACGCTGTCCCCTGTGTAATGAGTCGATTTTTTAGTCGACTCAAAAATCGACTCATTACACACGGAGCAACCTCTGACCCCTTTCTCCCTGTACGCTGTCCCCTGTGTAATGAGTCGATTTTTTAGTCGACTCAAAAATCGACTCATTACACACGGAGCAACCTCTGACCCCTTTCTCCCTGTACGCTGTCCCCTGTGTAATGAGTCGATTTTTTAGTCGACTCAAAAATCGACTCATTACACACGGAGCAACCTCTGACCCCTTTCTCCCTGTACGCTGTCCCCTGTGTAATGAGTCGATTTTTTAGTCGACTCAAAAATCGACTCATTACACACGGAGCAACCTCTGACCCCTTTCTCCCTGTACGCTGTCCCCTGTGTTTCTCCCTGTGTTTCGCCCATTTCCCAGCCCCCCCTCGTTCGCTCGATTTCTCAGCAGCAGGAACTGCTCTCTGCTGGCGGGGTGTCATCCGCGCTAAGAATGTGCACTTTGTGGGACGAACCATCTCCTGCGTTGCGTTTTGAGACCACCTCAAGACGAAAATGCTACACCACGAATCTGCACTTTGTAGGAGGAACTGTCCCCTGCGTTGCGGCTCTTAACCTTCTCTCTCTTCCCCCATCCCCAGGTCCCACCCTACGTCTCAGCAGCAGTAACTGCTCTCTGCTGGCATGGTGTCATCCTCGCTAAGAATGTGCACCTTGTGGGACGAACCATCTCCTGCGTTGCGGCTCTTAACTGCTCTCTCTTCCCCCATCCCCCAGGTCCTACCCACCCTCTATTGACGTCTCAGCAGCAGCAACTGCCCTCGCCCTCTCAGCTTCCCAGTGCTGGCTTGGCGTGCTGCAGCCAGGTCCTGGCTAACAGCGCTATCCCTTGTGGCGGTGGTCCCTGCATTTCACTGGCGGCACCATCCCGTGTGTCACAGCGCTAGCATCCGCTGATCCCTTTCTCCTTCTAACCTGAACCCTGTGTCTCTGCCCCCCCCGTGTCTCCACCCTATCTCCCAGCCCTCTTCTGATTCGTTCGACGTCTCAGCAGCAGCCACTGCTCTCGCCCTCTCCGCTTCCCTCTGCTGCCTCGGATCCCTCCTAGCCAGGAAACTTAGCTTCACAGGAGGCACCATCCCCTGTGTCACCGCACTAAACCTCTAAACCCGCTCCTGAACCCCTCTGTCTTCCCCCACCCCAAGCCCCACCCTCTCTCTATGTCTCAGCAGCAGCCACTGCCCTCGCCCTCTCCGCCTCTCTCTGCTGGCTCGGGTCCGTGTTTGCAAGGAGCCTTCACTTCACTGGCGGCACCATCCCCAGTGTCACGGCGCTAGCAACCTACCTCCCATCCGTTTCCTCATCCCTGCTCCCCAACCCCTGTGTCTCCCCCCATCTCACAGCCTGCTAACCAACCCCTGTGCTTTTCCCCATCCCCCCATCCCCATGCCCCATCCCCCGTCCCCCAGGCCCCCCCCTCTTTCGACGTCTCAGCAGCAGCCACTGCCCTCGCCCTCTCCGCCTCTCTCTGCTGGCTCGGGTCCGTGCTTGCAAGGAGCCTTCACTTCACTGGCGGCACCATCCCCTGTGTCACAGCGCTGGTGCTCGCATTCGCTACAATCACACCTGGCCTGGCTGCCCCCCTGGTTGCCCCTGGGGAGAAGATGGCTGCGCTGATGCTGCAGGTGAGGTGTACACCCTTTGCTACTCTCACCCTTTGCTACTCTCACTGCATTTTGTGGGAGGCGCCATCCCTTGTGTCACGGCACTGGCAGCACCATCCCTTGTGGGGTGTACACCCTTTGCTGCAATTACTGCACCTTGGGGGAGGGAGGCACCATCCCCCGTGTCATGGCGCTTGTGCTGGCATTCGCCACTCTCACACCTGGCCTCGCTGCCCCTCTAATCGCCCCTGGGGAGAAGATGGCTGTGCTGACACTGCAGGTGAGATTTACAGTTGTTGCTAGAGTCACTCTGTATGGTCTTACATTCTATTATTGTCACGCCGCTGGTGCTTGCCTTCGCTATACTCACACACCCAGCCAGGCTGTCCCTCTGATTCTTCCTGGGGAAAAAATGGCTGCTCTAATGCTGCAGCCTGCAGGTGAGACCAGATGTTTTGCTGCTATAATCACGAGTTAGGGTGTGGTGGCTGCTTTGATGCCGCGGCGTGTTTTTGAGAATTCTCAAAAACACCCTGCTAATGCTGCAGCAGGTGAGACCGGATGTTTTGCTGCTATAATCACGAGTTAGGGTGCGGTGGCTTCTTTGATGCTGCAGCGTGTGATGGCTGTGCTGACTTGTTTTGAGGCGCCTCAAAACTAGGCTGCTTTGATGCTGCAGCGTGTGATGGCTGTGCTGACTTGTTTTGAGGCGCCTCAAAACTAGGCTGCTTTGATGCTGCAGCGTGTGATGGCTGTGCAGAGTTTGGTGGCTGTGCTGACGTTGCAATCGGGCTCTAAATGCTGACACTGCTTGTGCTAACTGCTTTTGAGGCGGCTCAAAAGCTGCTCTGACGTTGCAATCGGGCTCTGAATTGATGACACTTGAGTCGACTCAAAGGGCTCTGAATTGAGGACATTTGAGTCGACTCCAAGGGCTCTGAATTGAGGACACTGCTTTGCTAACGCGACCTTCCTACGCTGCTCTGAATTGATGACACCGCTTGTGCTAACTTTCGTTACAGCCATGCCTCGCCCCATCCCAACCCCCTTCCCCTCTCTCCCCCCCCCTCCCTCTCAGGTGTTCTTCGCCTCAGTCGGAGCCAACGGCAGCCTCTCCTCAGTCCTCTCCTCCGCCCCCTCCCTCTTCCTCTCCATCCTCCTCCAGCTCTCCCTGCACCTCCTCCTCACCATCTCCCTTGCTATGATCCCTCTTCCCCGCCCTACCCCCACCCCTCCCCCCCTCTCAGGTGTTCTTTGCCTCAGTCGGTGCCAACGGCAGCCTCTCCTCCGTTCTCTCCTCCGCCCCCTCCCTCTTCCTTTTTATTCTCCTCCAGCTCTCCCTGCACCTCCTCCTCACCCTCTCCCTCGGCCGCCTCCTCTCCTTCCCCCTCAAGCCGCTCCTCATCGCCTCCAACGCCAATGTGGGCGGGCCGACGACAGCAGCCGGGATGGCAGCTGCCAAGGGGTGGCGATCACTGACTGTTCCGGCCGTGCTGGTGGGAATTTTTGGGTACGCTACAGCCACATTTCTGTCGGTTGTCATAGGGCACACTGTCTTAAAGCCCATGCATCTGAAAGCAGTGCTCTCCTGACAGGGCTGCTGCCAGCAGCAGTAGCACCGACAACAGCAGCGGGGATGGCTGCTGCCAAGGGGTGGCGATCTTTGACTGTTCCGGCGGTGCTGGTGGGTATTTTAGGGCTTCAAGCCATAGCCATGTTTCTCTCAGCTGCTGTAGGGCACACCGTCTTAAAGCCCATGCACCTGGCTGTTCTGGTGGGGGTTTTCGGGTATTTGGCTGTGTTGGTTGCGACAGTTACTTGAAGCGCAGTTATCGGGCACACAATGCTCAAGCCCTTCGAGACAGTCATGTTAAGACTAGAAAGAATGAGTAGACGAAGGGAGAACAGAGGAGATATAGTGTTTGGGTTGTACCCACTAAGAACATACCCTATCTAGCCTATAACTTCTGCATAACAATATATGTAAAAGTTGACAAGTGATGCCTCATAGGGTAATAGGGCATACGGTCTTAAAACCCATAACCTACTCTAGAGATTCTTTTAGGGTTTAACCAGCACTAGGAGGAAGCTACAGTAGGTACCAGCCTAGGAGCGCTTGCCATCCCCGTCAATCCAACCCTTCCCTGCAATTAAATTGCTGTTCAATGCTGTCTCCACTTCATAATTTAGTGTAATGCAGTTTACACTCTGTTGTAGTGTGGTGTGGTGTAGACCCTACAGTCTGATTATTATATCACAGGGCGAACAGCACGGCAGCTATGATAGCAATAGCTAGGAAGACGTACTTGAAGCAAGCAACAAGGATGACTATAGTGGAGACAAGCACCTGCCAGGAGAGGTAGAGCAGAGCGCAGGCAAACACCCCGGCTAGAACCACCACTAGGGCGTTCTCTGTTGAAGGCGCTAGCCAATCAGTGTCCATGCCTCATATAAGGCTATACCTCCCCCTCCTCTTCCTCCTCCTCCCATGCCTCCTCTCCTCCTCTTCCCCCATTCACCTCCTCTTTCTCCCCCCCCCCCTCCACTGTATCCACAAGAAAAAATCACCTAACCTTATAGGGCGAATAACAAGGCAGCTATGATAGCAATAGCTAGGAAGACGTACTTGAAGCAAGCAACGAGGATGACTATAGTGGACACGAGGACCTGCCAGGAGAGGTACAGCAGCGCGCAGGCAAACACCCCGGCGAGAACCACCGCAAGGGCGTTCTCCGCTGATGGCGCAAGCCAGTCCGTGTCCACGCCTCCTATACCTCCCCCTCCTCTTCCTCCTCCTCTTCCTCCTCTTCCTCCTCCTCTTCCTCCCCTACTCCTCCCCCCCATCCTCCTCCTCCTCTCCCTCTGCTCCCTCCTCTCTCTCCTCTCCCTCCCTTATTGCTACCTTTGCCGAACCTAGGAAGCCACGACCAATCGAATCTGTTTCTGCTGCTGCTGCTGCTGCTCCTGCTGTTGCTCCGGTTGTTGCTACTCCACCTGTTACTATTACTGTAGTTCGGTGCACTGTAGCTTCTCTCGTTATAATCTTCTTCGTCTTCTAGGACTATCCCTGACCATCGCTCCGCGTCTGGCTCCCGACTCGCACGGCATACACTGGTAACGCGTTGTCTAGTAACGGAGATTCCAACGCGTTGGACTGGGTTGGCTGCAAACGAGGATAACTGGCGTGGGTGACTGAGTGATGGAAGCGCAGCAGCCGGTACTGACGCACAAACCTTGTGCAGCTGCATGGCTTACCAACCTACTGCTAAGAGCCCGAAGTTTGACTAATGCGCTGTGTCGGACTTAATGATATCCGTGCGTGCGCTGAGGGGAATTTCGGTGGGTGGTGCGACGGCGACGGAGCAAGGGCCGCGAGAAAGATGACTTCTGAGTCGACACGTCACTACCTAGGTCGAACGGCGATCAAGGTTAATTAGTAGCTAGCTGCAAGGATTTTCTCGAACGGACAGCTTACTGGCTACAAAACCGCCTCGCTCTGCATCTTTGGGCTGGAATCTAGGCGCGAATGAGAGCGCGAACAGTGCAGGGTGTAGTGGATTGTAGTGGATTGTAGTGGGGTTTAGTGGGATGTGGTGCCAAGAATAAACCCCTAGGGGGGCCGCGGCGTGCGGTCCGGGTGAGCTTTTTATTTTCTGCCCGCGGGCAGAGAATACCACAGGTTTGAGCAAACTCTCTCCAACCCCTGCACATTCCAGGGTGTACTGCCAACAACGGATATGCGTTATGAGATGCTCCAGACCAAATATAACGGGCCAACATTTCTTTAAAAAAGGCTTGTGAGATTATACATCAACATAGGTGATGGCCATATGCACTAGTGTCACCCATTGGTACAGAGCCTATACTTGTTCTGTCAACAATTCAACTGCAAGTGAAAGATCACCATTTGTAGCACTCAACGCTTCTTCAGCCGACAACTGTAAAGAGGGGCAAATCCAAAAGAGAGGAGAAAAACGGACAGGAAGGATGGGTGAATGGCAAACCTACAAAATAGCGGGGAATCATGTGTTGAGGACGGAAAAGCAACATGTCGCGGGGAGTGTATAGACCCTGCACATACCTGGGTGAAGCCCATGTCGCATAGCTGCTGCACAGCTGCTGCTCTGTCAGTGGCATTATGCGAGTCGGCATAACTAGCACTGCGGGTTGAGGTGGCAGGCAGCTCGGGGTGGCCTGAGAGGTGGGCCTGCTGGTTCTGACTCAGTTGAGGTTCAGAATGTGCCCAGCCGCTCGAGAGTAATGTCGCCCTGAAAGTAAGAAGGGGGGGAGAAGAGAGTGGAGAGGAGTGGGGAGAGATGAGAGGGAGTGGGGAGGGGGGGATGGCACAATGCGAAGACGAAAGCAATGGCCACGTGCTGGCATAGCAATGGCCAAGATGCTGCGTCGTACGCACCTTCCCATGGCAGCAGCGGCGGCAGCAGCACTGGCAGAGGCAGCAGCAGCGTTGGGCAGAGGGTAGTTGGGCGCATCGTGAGACGCTATCACTGCCACCCCCACACTCTCTCTTGCTGCTGCTGCTCCTGCCAGTCCTTGTGCTTGTAGTGGGAGTGCCTGTAGCGGGGGTCCTGAAAAGGGCCCTACAGTAGCTGTCCCTGCTAAGGGTGGCTCCCCTGGTGCTGCAGAGTCTGCTAATGTCCGCCCCCGTCCAGGGAATCGCTGCAGGGGTCAAAAAGCACACATACACGTAAAGAGATATATGTGAAGGTGATTTTTTTTCAGAATTCTCAAAAACACCATGTAGAAACATATATATTATGAGCTGAACGTGGTAGTGCCCCTGGTGCTGCAGAGTCAGCTAGGGGTCCGCCCCCATCCAGGGAATTTCTGGGGGGATATGATGCAAACGCAAATGCATGTAGAAAGGTACATACTATGTGAGCTTGAGGTGGTTGCCCCTGGGTCCTGAAAAGGGCCCTGCAGTAGCCAGGGGCAACCACCTAAAGCTCATAGTACTTATCTTCCCTGCGAAGTGTGGGCCCACCAGTGCAGCAGAGTCTGCAAGGGTTCGGCACCCCCTAGGGAACCTCAGCATGAGTTCAAGCAGATTGACTCAGATGGCATGACGATGGTGCCGATATGAAACTGGCCCAAAAAACCGTTGAACAAACCGCAGTTCAATCCGGTGCAACACCTTACAACCACCTTACAACCATGTGTGCTACAACCATCCCTCCCGCATGCTACAGCCGCTATAACCACAAATGAACACACCGGGTCTGCAGCAGTCGCTGCAGCTTGCATGCCCCCTTGACCAGCACTCTGCCCCCACCCTTGTGCCTGAAATGAAGCCTGCGGATTAGCCGAACCCACAGGAGCCCCTGCTGAGAGCGAGTGGACATTCGAGAGGGGCCCCTGGCTGTATACCCTTTGGTTATGCGATCCCTGCTGCTGCTGCTGCTGCTGCTGTTGTTGCTGGAGTAGTCTCTGCTGCTCCTGCTGCTGCTGCACTGCTGCAGCCACAGACCGCCATCTCTCCTGCATACGAGCCACGGATGCCTGCATGCTGCGCCACGTGGCGTGCAGGGATTGGCTGATGCTTGCCGGCCTGTGGTAGGATGTGGTGTTTGGGAGGTGGGATGTTGGAAGGCCGGATGGGGGGAGGGGGGGAGGGGTGGTTGGGAGGGGGGGAGAGGAGATGGGTGCGATGATGGTTCGTGGGTGTGAGTGCAGTGTGGTGTTTGGGAGACCAGATGGGGGGAGGGGTGGTTTGGGGCGGGGGGGAGGGGTGGGTGCGAGGGCCATGTGATGTTTGGGAGGCCAGATGGGGGGGGGGGGGGAGAAGATGGGTGCACGGATTGAGGGAGCAAGAAGATGATGAAAGGATGATGTGAGACGGCGGTATTATGATGCTCTGCTCTGCCACAGGGAATTCTGGACGAAAGAACCGCTCGGCCAGTTGCTTCGCTAGACAAGACCAGGCTGCTTTTGAGGCGACTCAAAGGCTTCCGTTGAAGAATCAACCAGCGCACCAAAGGGACGAGAGGTCCCCTAGGCTGGTGAAGGCAGCAGCGCTGATGGGACGCCCCCCAGCAATCGACGCTTTACCAGAGAGAGCGTGAGGAAAAAGCAGTCGGCTGGAGTGCATGACAAGATAGGTTTGAGCGCACCGAAGGGACGAGAGGTCCCCTAGGCTGGTGAAGGCAGCAGCGCTAATTGGATGTCCCCCAGCAATGAACCCTGGCCGGCGAACTATCGGTGCCTGATGGGACACAATGGGTGGGATTATATGATAAAATAAGTTAAATGATTCATTTAGTACTTTGAAGGCATTACGACTTACAAGCTTGGGGCATGCTAGAGATACTAATCAGAATGTGAGCTCACAAAAGATCGAGCTCCATGTGGCGAGGGCACACAAAGTCAGGTCTAGTCACGAATACGGGAGTCAGAAAAGGATATAGCTTTATACCGCCAGGGTACTCACTAAGAATCGCGATGACTCCAGGAAATTCAGAGTGGCTGAAGAGGGTGTGACTATAGAGAGGGAGCCACGCACGTCTGAGAGGAGAGACGGGAAGGAGGAGAGAGGGCGGAAGGGGGTGGAAAGGAAGTTACGAAGACCAGTCACTCGAGAAATATAGAGGAAGAGGAGGAGAGCAAAGGAGAGAAAGGACGATGTTTAGGATGATGGCCTGAGGAGAGGAGGTGGAGAGTGGGTGAAGAGAGGGTGTGACAACAGAGAGGCAGCCAGGCAAAGACGGACTGATGGCAAACTTTAAAGTAGAAAGTGAGCTGGTTTTTGAGAACTCATAAAAACCAACTTCAAATCAGAACGCGAGGGAGGGCGGGAGCTCACAAGCTAGGACTGAAAGCATGCCAATCAGGTGAGGTGAGCGAGCAGAGGAGAGGTGGAGGGGAGGAGGAGGAAAAAAGGGGTCATAAAGAACAGGGGAAGACTGACGGCAAGTAAAACGACGGGTGTGAGGAGAAGGGCAGCTCACACGCTAGGCCTGAGAGTACGCCACTGAGGTTACCGAGAACGAGGGGAGGAGAAAAGGAGGGCAGACGCAGCAAGCATGGACTGATGGCAAGAGAACAGACTCATTAGGGGGTGTGGGGCTGCGTGCGAGAGAGGGTTATTTAGAATTCTCAAAAACACCCTGCAAAATCAAGGGCTGCATGGGAGTAGACATGGGCAAAATGCGATTGCGATTTAAATCGCACCGCATTGGGGGGCGATTTAATTAAATGCGATGCGATTTAAAATCGCATCGCGCGATTTAATTTCTGGGAAAAAAAAATGGCACATCGCGTTCTGCGTGCGATGAATATTAAAACCGCATGCGGTTTTTAATTAAATCGTGCGATGCGATTTAAAATCGCATCGCCTTGTAAAACATAACGAAAAAACACCCAAAAAAACCAGAAAAAACCATGGCTGTCGGGAAATTGAATCACGGGCAGTCGTAAGCTAGAGTGCAAATAAATAGTGTGGTTTCGTAGTGGGTTTCAGAGAGGGTTTCAGTACGGCATCACCCGCGATGGAAAAAGAAATCGCGTATCGCATTTAAATCGCGTTTTCCAGCGCGATTTAAACTAAATCGCGCAATAAACAATTTATCGCATCGCGCGATGAATTATTAAATAAATAAATAAATAACGCAATCGCAAAAACGCGATTATGTGCGATGTGATGCGATGCGATTTTTTTTGCCCATGTCTACATGGGAGAGAGGGTATTTAAGAATGATAAAAAACACCCTGCAAAATCAAGGGCTGCGCGGGTGGGAGAGAGCGCACATGCAAGGCCTGAGAGCACTCCATTGAGGTTGCCCAGCAGAGAGACGGAGGGAAGTAAAAAGTAAGTTGGCTGAGAATAGGAGTACGAGGGAGGACGGGAGCTCACAAGCTATGCCTGAGAGCACGCCACTGAGATGACTGAGCAGAGAGGCGGAGGAGAGGAGGAGGGAAAAGGGGGGCACAAGCTAAGTGGAGAAATACGCGTACAGCGTATTATACGCAAGCGTATTATACGCTAGCGTATATACGCTGTACGCTTCATTATGGGATTGGATACGCTAGGAAATACGCTCTGGCGGGCAGGTATAAAAACAACTCGGGCAGGGGTAAAAAAAACCTGTTTGGGGAGGGAAGAGGGGGGGTTCAGAGCACCAAATTCCCCCCACCAAATGTGGCATCATTTAGCATGGTAATAAATAAATAGTTCAAGCCACCAAGGGCATGTCAAGGGTTCCAAACTCCAACAACCAGCCAACCACCCATCTCAGGTAAGCCTCCCCCAAACCGCCCGCCTAACCCTCTCCTGCTCTGCTCTACAGGTACTCGTCCAGCAGCTCCTCATCTTCGCCCTCCTCATCCTCCTCCTCCCGATCCACCCTGTACCCCGCAGGGACGGGGGCGTCCGGGATGTTACCGGACACCACCCCCGCCCCCTCGTCGGCCATGTGCCAGTTGTGCACAACCTTCCAGTTGTGCGCAACGTAAACCAGATCCTTGCACTTTTCTGAACCCAGCCGGTTGCGTCGGGCGGTGTGGACAGTATCCCACACCGCCCAGTTGCGCTCGCAGCTGGATGCAGACACCGGCTGAGTTAGCACACGGCAAGCAAGGGCCATGAGCAAGGGGTGGTCAGTGCCGTGCCACTCCCACCACGCCTCCATGGAATAACTTCCTTCCTTCACCAACTTCCGGTCACTGATGGCCTCAGCCGTGCCGAAGCTGCCCCTCAACTTCAGAAAGGCGGCCAACCCTTCCTGCAGGAGGAGTGTGGCACGCTTGGGCAGGCCATCCCTCTGGGGAATCATCACCCCGCCATAGTGGCGGGCAATGAAAGCTTTGAACACATTGGTGCACTCCGTGTCCGGCCCAAAAATCCGCTCCTCCTGGTTGACCGGGTTAAGAATCCGCCCGACCACGTGCAGTGGGCAAGCCATACTCTCATCCCAACGCCGCTTCACAATCTCATTGACGCCCTTCTTGTCTCCCGCACTCAGCACCCCATCCCCCTCCTCCTTCAGCAGTTCTGCCACATTCACAGTGAGCTCAAGCATCAGCTCATAGATGCGGCCCATCATCCCTTTCGTTGCCGAATCCGTCGCCCTCATGGCCTTGAACGGGAGCAGGAGCAGCCTCTTGAAGAGCTCAGCCGCTGGCCACCAGTCCTTATCCATGATCTGGTCGTGGAATGTCTCTGCAGCTGCCTTCTTTGGGCCCACCGCCCACTCCGCCTTCCATGCATCGCAGAGCACCATGGTCACCAGCGTTGACCGCAACTCCACCAGGCGGGACACAGCAATGTGCTGCGTCCCAAACCTGGTCCCCGCCGGCCTCAGCATCTGCAGCCCCTTCCCTCCGTCCACACCCCTGAGATACTGTCGGGTCCAATGGTGGCTGCGGGTGTAGTTGATGAGCTCGCTCGCCCGCCCCACTACCTCCTTGGCCCAAGCCTGCCGTCCCACATCCTCCATAAGGAGGTCGAGCACGTGCGTCGCACACGGCACATGCTCGATGCGCGGATTCTCTGCAATGAGGAGCCGGCAGGCGCTGTGGTAGTTGCTGCCGCCATCGGTGCAGAATGCCACGATGTTCTCGACCCCAACTTTTTGCAGGATGGGCCGGAGGAGCCGGGCGATGTATCCCCCGGTCTTTTTCTCCATCTTGCAGTCAATACTCTCGACGAACACTGCACCGGTGTCATTGACCAGCATCACATTCGCCTGCGGCCTGCCACACTTGTCGGTCATCATGTCGCTGGCAATCGTCACGCCGTGGCGCTTCCAGCTCGACATGACGCCCGTCAATCCCTCGTCAATCCGCTTGCGGCATAGCTGCAAGCCGGCACCACCCACGTAGTCGCGCTTTGGAGGCACATAGCTGGTCCCCGCGCGCGCGATGGACCGGACGGCGTTGCGCCAAAGCGGGTGGTCGGCATGGCGCTCGGGAAGGCGGAGGCCGGCAAAGAGGAGGCAAATAGCCTCGTCCGCCGCCGCCTTGGCCGCTTGGGCGTCATCGGACAGGTAATCGGTGATCTTCCGCTTTCCCCGACCACTAACGGCGTCGAGGGCCGACTCCTCCGCCCTATGCGCCTCCTCCCTCGCGAGCACTTTGGCGGTTTGGAACGCGCGGACGGCAGCCTGCTCCTCCTTCCCTACCTCCTCGCATTTCCGAACCTCGCGCCTACGCATACCATCCCAACTAGTGATGTGCTGTGCGCAGCGGTAGGCCGTCCCGGTAAAGGATACGGGGCAGTACTTGCACCAATACTTTTGCTGCTTGCCGTGCTCCTTATGCTTAAACTTGAAATGCTTAAAGATAGCGTGGGTGGAGTTCTCCAGGAGCTCGTCAGAGGAAGACGCAGCACAGGAGGTTCCCGCGTCGGTTCCGTGGGAACCAGGACTAGGTGGAGGGTTCGACATAGCAACAGTCGCTAAAAAACCAGCTAGCTAGTCGCGCTAGCTTGGAAGTAGAAATGACTGAAGTTAGCGCGCCAGTTTACTTGTACCCTGATTTCGTCGTAGGAGTGCACTGCGCTGAACCCTGCTGGAGTAGAGTAGAGAGGGAGAGGAAGGAGATTTCTTTGGGTGTTGCTTGGAAGTCGCAGATTGGGTGGGATGCTGTGTGGTTGGGAGGGGCGAAGGGGTTGGGTTGACGATTTGAAAAGCCAAATTTCGGTTTGCGACATGGCGAAATCCCTGTGGGGTTTCGTCATGTCGCAAATTTGTCGCATCGTTTTTTGCGTATTTCTTGCCGGGCTGCCCGCCAAGAAATACGCTAGCGTATTGCGTACTTAGCTAGCGTACAGCGTATTCGTATTATACGCTAGCGTATGTACGCAATACGCTAGGCTGCCCAAGCGTATTTCTCCACTTAGGGCACAAGCAGCAAGCACGGACTGACAGGAGCAAAATGGCTCGTGCAACAAATCTGAGCGACAGGCCGACAATGTACAAACATGGGAATAGGGGCTCACTCACATGCTAGGCCTGAGAGCATGCCACCGAGGTGACCCAGCAGAGAGGCGGAGGGGAGAAGAAGAAACAGAGGCCGCAAGCAACAAGCACGGACTGGCAGCAGCAGAAGGGCTCAAGCAACTGGTATGAGGGAGGAAGGGAGCTCACATGCTAGGCCTGAGAGCATGCCACCGAGGTGACCCAGCAGAGAGGCGGAGGGGAGAAGGATAAACAGAGGTCGCAAGCAACAAGCACGGACTGACAGCAACAGAGCAGAAGGGCTCAAGCAACTGGTATGAGGGAGGAAGGGAGCTCACATGCTAGGCCTGAGAGCACGCCACTGAGGTGACCCAGCAGAGAGGCGGAGGGGAGGAGGAGTTGGAATAGCACGAGGAGCACCCAGGGGTACCTGTGAAACCGAGGGAGGGGAAGGTATGGGAGGCGAGATGAGCATGCCACTGAGGTGAGGAGGCAGAGCAGAGAGGCGGAGGGGAGGAGGAGTTGGAATAGCATGCAGAGCACCCAGGCCAGAGGTACCTGTGAAACAAAGGAGACAAAGGAGACAAAGGAGACAAGGGTATGAGACACATCAGAGGTCACAGTTGAGTTGGTTCTTGAGAATTCTCAAAACCCTGCAAAAACCCAACTCGACGGAGCACCCAGGGTTACCTGTGAACGAGAGGGTGATGAGGTGACGGGACACGGCAGAGGTCAAGTTTTGAGGCGCCTCAAAACTAGACTCCTAGCACCCAGGGGTACCTGTGTTGTTTTGAGGCGCCTCAAAACAAAACTAGACTCCTAGCACCCAGGGTTACCTGTGAACGAGAGGGAGATGAGGTGACGGGACACGGCAGAGGTCACAGAAGAACAACAACCAAGAGTGGTCAGTATGTGAAGGGTGGAGAAAGAGAGAGAAGCAGCGGGAGAGGTCAGAGGACACCGGATCGAGGAGAACCTAGAGAGGCCTGTCAATGGAAGGGTGGGGAAAGAGAGAAGGTGAGAGTATTAGAAGGGCTAAAACTGCATTGAAAAGTAGTAGCTTTTGATTCAACTAGAAAAGGCTAATTTTGTGTCGACTCGAAATCAGTAGCAGCACAGCTTTGAACCTGGCAGCTGCAACGTTGAACAGTCACGGCGGACTCTTACCAGGCAGTTAACACCGTGAAGAGGCCGAAGACACAGCATGGGAGAATCAGAGAATCAGAGAAAGCAACAAACTCAAACTCAAAACCAAGGCACCTTAAACTCGCCTCAAAAGGGGCGTGTCTTACTTACCAGGCGGTTGACACCGTGAAGAAGCCGAAGATACTGCACAGGCGGAATGGGAGGCAGGGGGGGAATGGGAGGAATGGGGGGAATGGGGGGAATGGGGGGAATGGGGGGAATGGGGGGAATGGGGGAATGGGGGGAATGGGGGGAATGGGGGGAATGGGGGGAATGGGGGGAATGGGGGAATGGGGGGAATGGGGGAATGGGGGGAATGGGGGGAATGGGGGGAATGGGGGAATGGGGGGAATGGGGGGAATGGGGGGAATGGGGGGAATGGGGGGAATGGGGCACAGAAGAAGGAATGGGTCGAATAACACAGCATCGGTGGAAGACGAGACGAGATGGATTGGCAGGGTGGTTTTGAGAATTCTCAAAAAACACCCTGCAAAATCATGGATCGGCATACGATGGTAATTTCCTGCGAAAACCAACTCCAGATGAAATGGATAAGCATACGATGGTTATTTCCTGCAACTTGGAGGGGGGGCGGATACACTTGTAAGCAGGTTCAGGGTTGCAGGAAAGGATTACCCTTACTTTACTACAGATGACTTTGGAGAATTGACGGAGGAGAGAAAATAAAAGAGAAGAGAAGAGAAGAGAAGAGAAGAAAAACAGCAAAACATCCACGTCCCTCTACACAACCCGCTGCGAGCACTCCAGAGAAGTCCGCCCACCCCACCAGTGCGAGGAGTCTATTTTTGAGGCGCCTCAAAAACAGAGAAGTCTCCCCACCCCACCAGTGCCACCACTGTAGAAGCATGTTGACGCATGTCCCAACTCACCTCCTGTGACTGCCCCCTCCAACGTGTAAATCCAGCACAATGAGCGCAAAGAGCACGCCGGAGAAGCCGATGCAGCACTCCCCACCCCACCACCGCCACCAACCCAGCAGCACTCCTGGGAAAAATGCTAAAAGAGAATGAATAGCTGCATTGAGGAGGGCGAAGAGGAGGAGGGCGTGCAGGAGACGCAGCGAGCCCAGGTGGCGCTCGAGAGGGGCGGCGAGGGGGAGGAGTGTGGAGAGGTTGAGAGCGATGTGGAGGAGTCCCTTGTGGAAGACGATGGAAGTCAGGGCGCGGTAGACTGGGAGGCGGGAGAGGGGAGTGGGGGGGGGGGGGGGGGGGACAGATGAGAAGGGGGGGGGGGGAGGGGAGACAGATGAGAAGGGAGTGGGATGGAAGAGAGGACACGCCAGGGGAGGAGTGTGGAGAGGTTGAGAGCGATGTGGAGGAGTCCCTTGTGGAGGAGGATATGGAGAAGAGAGTGCGGTAGGGGGAGAAGGGGGGAGAGGGGAACGGGGGAGGGAGGAGATTTGGAGCACAGGAAGCAGAGAGGGAAGAGGAGTGTGGAGAGGTTGAGAGCGATGTGGAGGATCCCCTTGTGGGAGAAGATGGAAGTCAGGGAGCGGTAGACTGGGGGTGGGGGGGAGGGGGAGTGTAGTCAAGGGGGAGGGAAGGGGAATGGAGGTCAGTAGGGTTCACTTCTACTGAGACTTTAACGAAAGAAGCATGATACATGCACGAAACCCAGCTAAAAAACTTACCACTTGGATTGCTCAACGAGGTGGGTGCCCGGCTAAATCCCATTTTGGAAATTGGAATCAACAACCTGGTGGCGAGTGAACATGTCTCCATTCGATTTTGAGTAAAGGTGCAATTTGAGTGAAGGTGCAATTTGAGTAAAGGTGCACTTTGATTGAAGGTGCAATTTGCGTCGACTCAAAATGCACCTGAACAACCTGGTGGCGAGTGGACATGTCTCCATTCGATTTTGAGTAAATAACAAACAAAGGCGAGAAGCAGACCTCCCGGAAGCTGTTGTTTTGCAGACCACCAACAGCCGTGAACACAGCAGCCACAAAGAAAGAGACACTCACAGCCCACCTCCTGTGCCCATTGAGGCCGTTCTGTCACTCCCCTTGCTGCTGCAGCACGGTCAACGAGGGCGAGAAGCAGACCTCCCCGAAGCTGTCGGAGCCCACCAGCAGGTCAGCCACAAACACAGAGGGCTAGTGGCCAGCGCACGCAGGCAACAGGAAGGTACTTTCCCTCACCTTGCCAGTGCCCCACACCCGACGAGGGCGAGAAACCGACCCTCCTGAAGGCTGAAGCTGTCGGAACCCACCAGCAGGTCAGCAACGAACACAGCCACACAGTCAACAGGCAACAGGCAGGGCCTTTGACTCACCTTGCCATTGCAGCATGGTGAGAGAGGGCGAGAAGAAGCCCCCCCTGAAGGTGTCGTAGCCCAGCAGCAGGTCAGCAGCGAACACGGGAGCACCACACTCAAGGAGGGCGAGAAGCAGACCTCACGGAAGCTGTCGTAGCCAAGAAGCAGGTCAGCCGCGAACACAGCCGCGCAGAGGGCGAAGACAGAGGCAGATGGCCCACCTCTGGTCCCCAGCCAGCCCACACCCACAGCCCTCAACGCACCTTGCCAGTGCACCACGCTCATTGCAGGCGAGAAGCAGACCTCCCTAAACCTGTCGTAGCCCACCAGCAGGTCATCCGCGAACACAGCCACACAGACGGCGAAGACTGAGGCAGATGGCCCACCTCTGGTCCCCAGCCAGCCCACACCCACAGCCCTCAACGCACCTTGCCAGTGCACCACGCTCATTGCAGGCGAGAAGCAGACCTCCCTAAACCTGTCGTAGCCCACCAGCAGGTCATCCGCGAACACAGCCACACAGACGGCGAAGACTGAGGCAGATGGCCCACCTCTGGTGCCCAGCCAGCCCACACCCACAGCCCTCAACGCACCTTGCCAGTGCACCACGCTCAGTGCGGGTGCGAAGCAGACCTCCCTAAAGCTGTCGTAGCCCACCAGCAGGTCAGCCGCGAACACAGCCACACAGACGGCGAAGACAGAGGCCGTTACCAGCGGCACGGCCAGCCACCACTGGTGAATGCGCGTGCCTATGCTTGCCTAACGGAAGGGAGGGGATGGGAAGGGATGGGAAGGGATGGGAAGGGATGGGAAGGGATGGGAAGGGATGGGAAGGGGGTGGGAGAGGGCTGGGAAATGGACGGGAGAGGGGTGTGGGGACAGCCACACAGACGGCGAGCACAGAGGCTGTTACAGTGGCGCGGCCAGCCACCACTGGTGAATGCGCGTGCCAATGCTTACCTGAGGGAGAGGGGAAGTTGCGGAGGTGGAGGGGGTGTGCCGAATATGTGAGTGCCGAAAACGGGAGTGCCGAATACGGGAGTGGCCAATAGGGGAGTGCAGACTATTCTTGGATAACGGGGAATCCCTACCGGTTTAGAGGCAGGAAGAGCGAACCTCTGTTGCGATGTTGGATCTCATGGCGACCGCACGATGCTCGAATGCAACGATCAAATGGACGGCTCGGATGCAAGGGTTGTATAAGGGTCGAAACCAATCCGAAGCTAGAGCCGGTTTGAAGCTAGAGCCAGTCCGGAGCTCGAGCCGATCCGAATCTAACGCCGATACGAATCTAACGCCGATACGAATCTAACGCCGATACGAATCTAACGCCGATCCGAATCTAACGCCGAACCGACAAAAGTGCCAACCCGCCACTCAAAAGAGCTGCTCAAGTATACCGATAAGCGTCTGACTATGCCAGATTTTAGATGTGCGCGGTAGATGGCCTGAGTGCGCGGTTTGACGAGAAAATAGCACTGGAGAAACGTGTTAGACACGAGAGGAACTACTAGTGCTTGTCTGTCAAAGAGACCTCGGGAGTGCACCAGATTTCAAATTGATCCGTCGGTGTCAAACGCGTTTGTGGTACATTACACAATAAGGCGCACGGGTAACATTTACCACATTGGGCTCAGTGTGGTGCTCGCTCGGTCCGCGAGCTCAATGTGAGAAAATCACGGGACAGGCCGCCAGCCGAGCCATGGCCTCGGGAAGGGTTACATGGTAGTGCTACGAAATGTGAAAATTCGCGACCAATAATAACGCACGTCCTAAACATGCACAGTTAACCAGCGACAAAATGGGGAGACCGTTATTTCGCAGGGGGGACTTCGCGAACTCTAGGTTTCGCATGTAGCTTTCGTCATTCATTGTTGGATTTCGCCCTATGCTGTGCGAAGTTCGTGTGGGTGGTGTTTCCACTTGAGCGCGGCTCAATGTTGTTTTTGAATTTTATGTTCAGTTTCTGAAATTTCCTGTGACATTGAGCCGCAGGCTCTGGATTTGGCTCCACTCGAGCCGAATATCGCCCCCCCTTACAACGAATGCATGAGATATTCCGTACTTTTGCAAGGGAGTCAGAAGCAACCAGGGCCTATTTTATCAGAGTAATTTACTCTGCTTCTCTGAAAGGGGCCCTGAGTTAATATATATATATATATTTACTATGATTTTATCCGAGTAAACCTTTGTACCACTCTGATGGTCCGTGTATAGGGGGTACCGTATATATGTGATTATGTTCCTGTCCCCTATACCTACCTGTGCCCATGTGTCCCGCAGAACGCGTCATGTGACACGCACCGGCGAAATCATCATCTGGTCCGTGCTCGAGGTTGTGTGAGGGAGCTCAATGTCCCTTCTCCAAAATCACCTCGCCAATTGTGCTGGAAGGTGCGTGAGGGCGTTGATTGGCCCTTCGCCAAATCTAGGGGTCAATAGAGATGCGTTGTTGGTTGTGTGAGGTCGTCTTGGGCCCTTCTGTTAAAATTATATAAGTTATAATTTAATATATGCTTGGTAGGTTGTTACTGAACCTTTCTGTAGAGGGTACAAACCCCTCCTTGTACTCCTCTCTCTTCCTAATCGATCCCCCTTCTTTCTCGACATTCTCTCCTACCCGCTCCTAGATCTACTTTCCTCACGCCATTCTATGGCGGCATTCCTAGTATCCTAGCTAAGCTAGTGTCATAAGTTTTAGGAACCTAGTCTCGTAAGTTCCTGAGATGGTATCAGAGCAGGTGACCGTTTACGGACCTGCTCTCTACGCTTCCGCCGCGTACTTAGTCGTCGTTCATTCATGCCGTGCCGCCGTGACGGCCATGCCCGTTCCTGCCGTGCCGTCGCGTCGTGACGCATGGCGTCGATGCCACACTGCTGCGACGCCGCCGTGCATACCGTCGCAGCAGCGACGTCCCACCGCTGCATCGACGCCGCGATGTGTCGGCGTCGTAATGCTGTCGTGGCAGCGTTGTCGGACGGCAGCTTGCCGCGCGACGTTCGTGGCGCCGCCTCACCTGCTGTCCGCACGCCAGCCTCAAGCGTGAGGCTGGACCACACCCCGCCCCCCTTCCCTTGTGTCCTGTATCTTGCCGCAGCCGACGGCTGACTCCCGCCGGCCGTCCCACCGTCGCGGGGCCTGGCCACGTCACCGAGAAGTGCGGGTGCCGCCGTCGCCGCCGCTGTTATCGAAGCCGCCGCCGCCGCTGTTGTCGCCGCTTGCGTCGGGGCCACGCAGCTGCACGCCGCCACCGCCGCCGCTGTCGACACTGCCGCCGCTGCTGCCGTCGCCGCCGTAGCCCCTGCGGTCGACGTCGCCGCCTCACGCGCCATGGTGTCGACGGACCTAGTGTCGCTGTCACTGTGGCTGGAATGGGGGTGCTAGGTTAGGGGGTGTGTGGTGTGTTGGGTGGGTGTGTGACTACCAAGCCTAGGGGGTGTGTTAAATTATATAAGTTATAATTTAATATAGGCTTGGTAGGTTGTTACTGAACCTTTCTGTAGAGGGTACAAACCCCTCCTTGTACTCTTCTCTCTTCCTAATCGACCCCCCTTCTTTCTCGACATTCTCTCCTACCCGCTCCTAGATCTACTTTCCTCACGCAATTGCATGGCGGCATTCCTAGTATCCTAGCTAAGCCAGTGTCATAAGTTTTAGGAACCTAGTCTCCTAAGTTCTTGAGACCTTCACCGTATTTGGGGCCAACGTGTGCTTGCAGGGGGGGTGCAAGATTTCCCGTCCCCGCCCCTGCTGTGTCGACCTCTCCTGCCAGCTCGATTCCCCCTGCCCCTACAATCTCGGTATCCAACGCCTATACAATCTCTCGATACTTCCCCTTTGTTCCACCCCCCATCTCCCGATCTTGCCCCGCACGCCTAGAGGACCCTGCTGCAGAGAGTTACTTCAAAAACCCCCCTGCATTGTCAATGTAAAATTTTGAGAGAGAGAAAAAAAACCCTGGAAAATCAGAGAAACCATTGGGCAGCACTATGATTTTCAGAGTGATAGAAAAAAGCCACTCCCTAACTCCAGAGTAGTAAAAATCCAAAAGTAGGCCCTCGAATAGGGCTCTAGATTGGTTTTGAGGCTTCCTGATCCATCAGGATTCTCCCATAAAAAAAATCTGAATTTCCAGGGTCCCCCCCAAAAAAATCATGAGCCATCAGAATTACTTCAAAAAAAAAATCCTGATTTCTCAAAGGTTCTATACATGTTTTAGTTAATGGATTATGTGTGTTCAAGTCTTGATTGTTGAGGGTGCTGGGAATTCGTAGCGAATTCTTGCGCGTTGGGCGAGATTGGGGGATGGGCAGGATATCAGAATAATTGAATAATGGTAAAGTGAGAGTACACACAAATATATCTAAGTTTTGTATCCTCTAAGAGGTGACTCTATACAGTCTATACAAACATGACAAATACACATGTTTGACACACCCCCTAGACTGCATAGGGGAATACCCTAAACAAGCAGCTCAGGGCGGCACTACTAGTCCAACCTCTGAGACAAGGGTCTGAGCGACCGGTCAGAAGGAGTACAGACAAGGCAAGCACAAGAGCAGGGCGGCACTACTAGTCCAGCCACTGGGAGAGGACACAAGTCCAGTCTGAGTATACATATAAAGGACAGTACAAAGTCAAGGTCCTAGCAAGTGAGAGGCTACAGGAACTAGACCAAGCTGTACACAGTGCCGCTGATGATCTTTAGGCGCAAGCGCCTTCGTAAAGATATCAGCCGTGTTGGCACCTGAGGCCAAGTGTACTACGCGAGCCTGACGTCGCTGCTGTAGCTCACGCAGGAGGAAGTACCGCAGCTGAATGTGCTTCGCTCTGCCCTCGAGTCGAGGCTCCTGACACAGGAGGATCATGGCCTTGTTGTCAGCGAACAGGACCGGGGCAGAGCTAGGCCGCTCACCTAAGTCAGTGAGCAAGAAGGTGAGCCAGCGGAGCTCCTGTGCCGCCATGGCACCGGCGTAGATCTCAGCCTCACAGCTGGACTGTGCAACAGACGAGGAGCGAGTAGCTCTCCACAGGACGGCACCTGAGCCAAGGCTGAAGCAGTAGCCCTGGGTAGACCGGAGTGTCTCAGCGTCGTCTGCCCACGAAGCGTCTGTGTGCCCAGTAAGGACCGCTGGCCTGCGTCCTCCTAGCACTAACCCCATGCCCGATGTACTAGCAAGATAACGCAGAACCCTCTTAGCGGCAGACCAGTGCTGCGGTCGGTGTCTGCCTGTGGCCACAAAGCGAGCCAGGATGCTGAGAGGGTATGCGAGATCTGGGCGAGTGCAAGTCATCAGGTACATGAGGCAACCCACCAGCTCTGCGTAGGGGTCGCTGGGCTCTACCAACTCCTCAGGCACTGGAGCGGAGAGCCTGTGGTCTACAGGCAGAGGGGTGGGCTGTGCAGAGGAGAACTGAAGGCTGAACCTCTGAAGGACCTGGCGCACCAAGTGTGACTGAGTCAGGGTGATGGTGCGCGCAGCTCTGTCCCTGGAGATCTGCAAGCCAAGGTAACGGCGCAGTTCTCCAAGGTCAGTGCAGGTGTGTCTCTTCAGCAGCTCTGCCTTCACGGAGGCCAGCGCGTCCCTGTCTGCTGTGGCAAAGACCAGGTCGTCGACGTAAACGAGGATGTAGAACGGAGTCTGGCCAGCACGAACGAAGAGTGAAGGGTCTGCAGAAGACGGAAAGAACTGCAGGTCAGCAAGCGTAGCACGGAGAGTGTCGTGCCACTCACGGGGAGCCTGGTGCAGGCCGTAGACGGGGCGCCGCAGGAGCCACTGGGTGCCAGGAGGGAAGGTGCCAGTAAAGCCCGGAGGGCGGCGCAGGTAGACCTGCTCGTGTAGGCTGCCCTGAAGGAAGGCAGTGGAGAAGTCGAGGGAGTGAAGCTCGTAGTCACGCTGAGCAGCTAGGTGTAACAGAACCCAAAGAGTAGTCATCTTCGGGGTCGGAGCGAAAGTCTGGAAGAAGTCCACCCCCTCGCGCTGACTGAAGTCTCTAGCCACATAGCGCGCCTTGAAGACAGGCAGCTCTCCAGGAGGGCGCTTCACCTTGAAGAGCCAGCGGCCATCGACTACGTTCACCCCAGGTGGGGGAACTGCGTCGACGAAGGTGCCGGTGGATCTCCAAGATGCCATCTCCTGCTCCATGGCAGCTATCCACTGCGAGGCCCAGGGTCCCGAAGTCGCCTCAGCGTAAGTGCGAGGGGTCGGGATGTCGAAAGCGTCTGGGTCACCCTCAGGGACTAGCAGCATGGAACAGAGATGGGGAGCAGCCTCGGAGAGGAAAGCAAGCTCGAACTGGCGGTCCTCCAGGACGTCACTGCCAAGGGCAGGAGCACCCCCGACAGACGGAGGACAGGCAGGGTCAGAGACCAGAGCGGTGGCGTAGTCAAGGCGGCGGGTAGAGGCGAAGTCAGCGACAGCAGCGACAAGAGCGTCAAGGCACGAGACTGGAACAGACGGGTCGGTAACGAGAGAGGCAAGGACCCGAGGAACGAGAGGACGAGCGGCACGAAGGTAGTCGGACAGCGGGGGGGGC